GATCATCGATAGCTTCCTTCCAACCATGGGGAATACGCGCAGAAGACAAAGACGAAACAAAAGCACGATATGTAGAAAACAATGAATCATATGATACAAATTTAGAAATGAGGTGTTGAGTACAAGCCCTAACTCCCTTTCTAAGAGTAATAGGGAGACTCGAATCATCGACAACAAGACTATCAACTACAGATAGAGGAATAGACTGAGGTGCATTACCTAAAATTGGCAAGAGGGATGATGATGGATCTGGGGGCACAAGGGAAGCTTGCTCTTTCAGACGCCGAGAATAAGTCTTAAGATCAACCCTATCCAAACGACCACCAATGTCAAGCTCCACATCAAGAGAAATATTAGGCTCCCCCTCACCACAAATAACAATCTACTAACTAGGAAGAAAAAAAGATAACTCGTGTTGATAGGCCATCTCCTCATCCGCAATCTCATCTATAACACTACTCTCTCCTAAAGGAGATGGTAGAGAAGAAGGAAAGAAGGCTTCAGATTCACGGAAAGTGACATCAATACTAACATACACTTTGCGAGTGTAAGGATCATAACATTTGTAACCCTTCTGAGTAGTAGAATAACTAATAAAGACACAATGCACAGCCTTAGGATCGAGTTTCCCACGAGTACGAGGTTGCAAATGAACAAAACAGACACCCAAATACCCAAGGAGGAAGAGAATAGATGGGATATGTTACAAGAAGTAGTTGAAGAGGAATCTGAAATTGGAGGACACTAGAAGGCATATGGTTAATAAGATAAGCAGCAGTAAGAACAACATCACCCCAAAAAGACTTAGGGACATTCATGGTAAACAAGAGAGAGTGAGCAACTTCAAGAAGATGGCCATCCTTGCGTTCGGCAACTCCATTCTGCTGAGGAGTACCAACACAACTAGTCTGATAAAGGATGTCATGCTCCTCTAGGTATGCTCAAAAAACTCCATCAACATACTCAATCCTATTATCACTTCGAACAATTTTGATTTGAGCATTAAAAAGATTGGTCACCATTTTATGAAAAGTTTGGAAACAATAAAAAACTTCACTCTTAGTTCGAAGCAAGTAAATCTAAGTCACAAGGGAATAACAATCAATAAATGTAACAAACCATTGATACCCAGAAGTAGAAACCACAGGGAAAGGGCCCCACACATCGGGTATGAATAAGCATAAAAGGAAAAGTACTTTCATTAATTGAATAAGTAGAAACCACGTGCGTTTATGCCTTACAAGTTCACAAGCATCACAACCAAAAATACTCCTAGGACAATCACGAACTAAAGAAAGAAAAATTTTCTTTAAAACACTAAAAGAAGGATGAACCAAACAGTGATGAGGATGTACTAAGAGCACTAGCCGAAATACCTCTGTGGGCAAAATTAGAAGAAGCTGGAGTGGAAGAAGCTGTGGTAGAAGGAGAATCAAGTCGAGCCATCAAACGCACGCCTGAGAGTGTGTAACTCATCCTGGGAAAGAGAGTGCTAGGCTCAGAAGGACTCGTAACAATCTCAGACACGTGCTTGGGAACGAGCTGTACTACCCCGACCCCAAGTAAGGCGACCATTTAGTTTCCAACAATGTTCTGGATCATGTCTGTCTTTCCCACAATAATCACACTTCAATCGATCTCGATCAACTAATGTACCCTGAGTACCAGACTGAACCGAACTACGTTGAGGAGCTCGAGTAGGAGGAGCAACAACCAAAGCAGAACGATCTTGAATAGAGGAATGAACCATAGCCCTACGTCGACTCTCCTCTTGTTGGACAAGGGCATAAGCCTCGCGAAGGGTGGGAAAATGGGAACGACCTAACACTTGGACGCGAATCTGATCATATTCCAAGTTCAAGCTAGCAAGAAAGTCATACATACGCTCATTCTCCACCTTTGCTGAAACAAAGTGGCATCCTGAGAACAAATAGCCTGGAAGCTTTAGTAATAGTCTAGTTCTTGCCATAAACTACTCAACTCAACATAGTATACTGCGAGTGATCTATCCTTCTGATCTAAGCTCCGAAGCTTCTTCCTCAACTCATACGCTTGTGCATCATTACCCTCTTAGGAGTACATCTGGGCTGCAGTTGTCCAAATCTTATGAGTAGTATCTAATGAAAGGAAACTCCGACTAATGGTGGGCTGCATAGAGTTAATTAGCCAAGTCATAACAAGAGCATTCTCAGAAATCCATTGAGTACGTAGTGAGTCATCACCATTTGGGAGGGGAAGAGAACCAGTAATGTAGCCAGTCAAATGGCGAGCAACAATAGCAAGACTACAGGAGCGTGACCAAATCAAATAGTTAGAACCATCCAATTTAATGGAACTAATTTGAAAAGAGGGACTGTCGTTAAGAGTAATAACACAACGCAACCCACCCTTATCATTAATTGTATCCTTAGTCTCACCCTCGGCCACTGAAGATTAAATCCCAACAATAGAAAAAACAAATACTAGCCCAAATCCGGCAAAAACAAACTGAGGCAAATCCACAAACTTAACTTAGGGACAAAAATTACCTCTGGAGACAAAAACAGAGCCAAAACATGGGCTGGAGAGGCCAAAAACAATCAGAAACTGAGAGAAACTGTGTTGAAACTGAGGAAAATCGACAAAAACAGAGTGGAACCTTGCCAAATCATCAAAACCAGGTCTCCCAACCTTAGTACAATCCTAGTCAGCTCCCAAGGTAGAGGGAGGAAGGAAAAAATCAGCCAAAAACTAGCCCCAGTAGGGACTCGAAAAATCAATTAGTTTTTCCAAAAGATCAACAAAAATTAGAAAAACACTCAAACACTCATCAAAAAATTAAAATAAAAATTTAGGATGAAAACCCATCAAATTTTGACCATGGAGGAAATTTTTTTTTTTTTTTTTCTGTGTACAGGGAAAAACAAATGAAACAAGGAACAAGAGAACAATCTTCAAGAAGGAAGATGAAGCTCTGATATCATGTTGGATTTGCATAAAAGAAAGAAAATAATGAAAAGAAGAAAAGAGAGAGAGAAATATTGTGTTTATTATCTTACTCTTAAACATATTAGGGTTACACATATTTATAATAAAAAACTAAAGGAACAAATGACATAATTACCCTCACACACTAATACTTAACAAATGCACTATACAACTGTACAAAATAATCAAGATTGATACAAACAAAAAAACCTATTTTTCAAAATTGTTAAATTTTGAAATCAAATTTCAACAACTCACCAATCGACACTCAACCTCTTTATAACCCTATAGAGAGAAGTGGAACTTCACATCAATGTGTTGTGAAGGTACAAGTGGAGTCCCTAGTAAGGCTACTAATAAGTCTACATGTGGGTCCAATTTTGGCAAGTAGAGTCCTTACACATCAGATAAGAGGTCTCAATAAATTAGGCATACATGGTTCAAGCAAGACAGTGCAATTTAAGGCTACTAAAATGGCAAGGATGGGTAAGAGATATGCTAAGTGGAAGAGAATGGTGAGACAACAGAGAGCCAAACTATATATCACGAGGGTGTGCATCTCTATGCTCCTATGTTGGCACAGGTACTCCTAAAAGCATATATAATGCTTTTTTTGTAGCCAATTTTAAAGAGCCCTCGAGTTTCTTCAATTTTTCAGTTTTTGCACTGTACTTTATTTCCCTTTCCTTTTTTGAGGGGCTTTTTTTATTTTTATTTTTACCTTTTCTATCACCTTAAGTGTACCATATTTGTATATTATTAGGGTTTTAAATCAAAATTCTAGGAAAGGAATGTCTTAAAAATCACTCTCTCTCCAAAATTCCTATTCCTAATACAGTAACCAACTGCACGATGTGGTATGAATTTTGAAATTGATCGTACGATTACGAGTACATTGAAAAAGTGAAGACATGAATTTTTCGAGAACAGAAGATTATGAGCCCATGTTAATAACACCAGTAACACTGATATAGTAGGAAATTTATTTCATAAGAAACCAACTGGGAACTGAGTTGATCACTCTTTGTACACTCAAAATTTCAATTGAAAAGCCAAGAAGTCAATCATTGTCAAAGGTAATAATCTCATTTTTTTTTTTACTCTAAATTGTTTTATTACAGGATCTTTTTTAAATTTTTTGTTTCTTCCCTAAAACATGTAATGATTGCATGCGTTGAACTTGTGGTATGTATTGTTGATGTTGCTTACATAATTGATTGTCCAAATAAAATTCTCCAGCATTAGCTTATTCGATCTCATTAGCAAATGTGGTAGCAACAAACTTGTTACATATAACTAGCAATACCAATCAATGAATTAGCTTGAATCAACAACTGAGTTTGAGTCTGCTCCAACAGAGTGATTTTTGTTTGCTCACTAAACATTTTGAGGAACATTAGCCATAGAGTCCAAACACACCCTGAAATTCAGGGAGCCATTTGCTATCTTCCACACACTGGGACAAACACAGCACTGTAAGAGACAAGGGGTGGCCTTCGAAAATGTGATATTTATTAACATTTTTTTAAGTCTCTTTCCATGGAGTTTTTGGTAGGCAGACAAGCTGATGTGTCTGCCTAGTCATCTTTCACAAACAGAGGATCCCCGTCAAGCCCATCCCCATATTCCCCAATCAGGGGCCAACATCTGTCACCCACCACACCTTGTCTCCCACATATCTCCTGCAGCAGCCTCTTTCTCTGTATATATATATATATATCTACATAAGACCTGTACTAGCAGAGCCTTCCCATAACTACCAAAATTCAAGTACCTCTACTCTAAAAGTGCATGAACATGGCACAACAATCGTCCCCTACAAGAATCCGGAAGTTCTGGTCATGGAAAAGGTGTTCGAGGTATATCCAAGAGCAGAGAGCGCGCCTCTATATCATATGGAGGTGTACGGTGATTCTTCTACGTTGGAATGAATAGAGTTTTGCACCTAATGTACTCTTTTTCTAGGTAATTCAATAAGTTTATGTTGTAGTCTTAAAGGCTTCTTATGTTTATGATCAGATGTTGAAAGACAATGGAGTACAACCTGACCTACAAGGTCGGTGGTAAATATCATACATGTATAGCTAGTTTTTTCGATTAAGTTTCCAAATTTACAATATATAGCACAAGCCTTGGTATTTTTGTTTGCCACAAAAAAAAAAAACAAAACAAAACTCTCAGGACTAACACACAACAAATTAAACAGAATTGTATATTCATCTCTTGTTATCAAGAAAAGGCTCACCGCGATTCCCTTGTAACCTCATTGAATTTGAATCTTCCTCTGTAGACTTCTTTGGGGATTGTCCATGCTTACTTTGGGTTCCCTGTGAGATTTTAATACATGGAACAAAAACAGCCTTCAGCAACTAGAATGAGTTTGATATTGAATGAAAATGTTATATCAGAGCAGCAACCATCGAAGGTAAAACCTGTCAAGAAACTTTTACAAATGTAATTCCCTTCATTGCAAACTTATTTATCGGATTTTTACAAATTTATTTATCAGAATTTTACAAATGTAATTTATTTGTTTGGAGTTTTTGTGTTTATAATGAATGGGATCCAAACCCCAGCATCTGTTCAACAATTGCTCCCACATTACCACTGGGCCCAAGACAATAATTTCCTTCTTTGGATGCTTATTTATGTCCAATTCACTAAATTCATTCATTTTACTGCTATGGATCTTGAAAGATTTAAAAGCTTTATTTTGGATGAGATCAGAAAATAGCAGTGGAGTCAGAACTTGGCAAAGTCAAGCATGTTTTTTTGGCAGCCATTCACTTTTTGTGATGAAAACATCAGAATAAATCAATCCCTTGTTCATTTATTTATTTGTTTGTTTGTTTGATTATTTTATTTATTTTTAGAGGTAAGCACCTATCCCATTCAGAGATGTAAGAACTACCACTCAAATGATCAACAGGTGCTTAATACTAATGACAGAATTCAATGGTAATTAGAAGTACTGTAGATCTCTCAAATTGAGCTACTAATAGGTAGGTGTTTCTCAGTTTTATAGTTTTCCACAGTCCAAACAGATCCTAGTGGTCCTACATATTATCTGGATTGACTTTCTAGTACCAAATGAAGCCTTCTTGTCATTTTGCTGGGTCAACTTAACTTCAGAAATCCTGATAATATATTATTCCATGGAGAATAAATCATGCAGGGAATTTTATTTTTAAATGCTAAAATGTTTATTACTTTATCTAGCGATAAAGAAGAAATACAAAAGAGAAACCAGATAACAAAATTCATAAAAGAATCCACTTACTGCTCCCTTGTGGCTAGTTAACCTCCGAATCGATGGGGCACGTGCCATTGATGAAGCAGCTGCAGCTGCAGCCACACGTATCCTGCAAAATAGAAACAATATCTCATGATTATTTTCTTTTTCTCCAGCAACTGCTCAAGTTCATATCAAATCTTCAAAGTTCAAGTACCTTCTATGTACATCAACAAATTCATCTGTCTCATCTACAATCTCCTCCTGCATCGGTGACAAAATCATCGCCATACACTTCATTGTTAACTCAAGAACACATATATGAGAAGAAATGAGAAATCAAGTTAATTACCTGTAGAAGTTCTTCAAAGACATCTTCCAAGGTGATGATCCCAATTACTTCACCATCTTCAATATCCTCCGACATAGGAGGCAATCCATTTGGTGCAGCATCGTTATGTTGAGAAGAGGTTTGCCTGTTTATAATAGATGGCCTTGAAGCCTTCTCGATATCAACAACAACATTTTCTGGCTTCTCATCTTGCTTCGATAGCAGAGGGGTAGTTAATTGAGAATCCCCACTAGCAACTTTCTCTTCACTATAACTTAATGGAGGGTTTTTGTTTTTCCCTTTAAACTTCACCACAGCTGCCATATGACTGCTACCCTTTTGAAATTCATTCAAGATGTCATATAGAGGCATATCAGCAAGAACCCCTGGGGAGAACATTCCACATATGAACACATCAATTTCAATTCTTAATTTCTGAAAAAAGCATACATAAGCAATGTGTCAGGACAATAAGCACACCGTGGAATTCTTCGAATGGAAACAGCACTGACAGGAGTCTCTGTTTCTGGTCTTACTGTAAGAAGACTTTTTACCTAATCTCAACCAACGTAGAAAAATAGAGAAAAATATAAGGATAAAGTACTCAACATATTTAGCTTGCTGATAGTCTAGATTATAAAACCCACCAGTAAAAGTCCAATAATATTTTTTGGGTTTCCAGAATAAACAGGTACTCGACTATGACCTCGAGCAAGAATTTTTCCCATCGCTTCCCTGAGATGGTATTTTGAGGGGGGGAAAAAAGATTAAAAATCTAATATGCATCTGTTTACCAGAATTTCTTCCATTGATAATTCAAGAACTTATCAGAAAGAAACACATGATTGGAGTTCCAAACAGACTGTAAATATCAAGGAGCAGCACTAACCAGTCCAATTTTGAGTTCACATCCAAGGAAAATGTAGACTCAATGGGTGTCATAGCCTCCTCAGCAGTCTGTTCAAAAAGAAGCGGATGTTGTTTGAGATTCTGATGGCAACAATATCACTTTGTTTTAAGATTTAAGATCAATGAGCAAGTAAGATGAAAAATAGAAAAAATATAATTTGGAACTTAATGCACTCCGGAACTAATTCAGAAGCATTGAACATATCTGTAAAATCATCAGTTTTCACCTTTACCTCTATGCAGGAGTCAATGTATTTAATTTGATATTAAATACCTGAGTTGAATCGAGGACAAATTCTGAAAGCATTGCCCGAAAATTTGCACAGAAAATTTGGGGTATACAGTGAAATTTGTGAAAGTAAAACTGAATAATGAAAATATTTAGTAAAGTTAGGTAGCCAAAGCTTGGGTACAAAATCAGTTCAGAAAGTACCACGTTCAGTTCAAATTCAGTAAAAAGTCACTTCCAATTTTCATATATTTAATACTTGAAAAAAAAATGTAACCAGATGTACTAAGGATTAAATACATAGTAGTAGTACTCGCATATTTTCATCCTTTTTCATGTGCAAAGTACTACAAGACAAAACTGAAAAAAGGAACATGACATATTGTTTTGTAGTTTCAAATCAACTGCTACAATTCCTAATTCCTATTTCCACAAGATAAAAGGATGTAATTCTAGAACTTTATGTTAATGTATGGAAAGGAAAATAGACAATTGATTGACAGAATTCAAAATAACAGTGGCAGTGTCCTTCATACCTTCTCGGTTAAATCTAGCGCTCCACTAATAATCGTCGTCTCATCATGTGTTAGTTCACCACCTTTACCAGCCTAGAAATAACAATAGAACCATATTATGTTAAGAAGAAAAGGCAAGAAGAATTTGTGGCATTTTTGGCATTTTATAAACCTTTACATAGCATATCCATGTGAAAATTGTAGCATTTGTACATAAAATTATAATTGGGTTCAGTTTACCTCCTGACCATGGATGGAGACCAGAGCTTTCAACTGAGCCCGTCTAAATAGGGCATCATTATGTCCCAATACCCAATCTAGAATCTGGAATGACATATAGAGTTCAGCTAAAGCCCAAAAAGCCTTAAATATTTAAGGAGCAGAATATCAAATTGCACAATTGATCACAATAAGAAGACTGAAAAGAAACATGATCTTCTTTCATAAATAGGTGCAGAATAGTATTCTCTCTCTCTGCCGAAAAAAGAAGTTTGGGAGAGCAGGTAGGAGAGACCTAATTACTTCTCCTTCCATTCTATTTCTTTTCTTTTTCTAGTGATAGATGTTATTTCTTTTATTTTTTTAATGTAAAGGTATATGAATAGGCTGCAAATGTAGAACTTCCATTTCTCATAATAATTCAGGATTCATAACCATACTAAGGCCTTGTTTGTCATAACCTAAAAAAAGTCAAAAAGTCACTATCCTATTTAAATCACATCATCTTATTTAAATCACATCACCTCTCTACCACATCACTTCAAACCCAACCCATACCCAACTCATATTTCATAAAAAGTCAAAAAGGGTACTTATTTGGATCATCCCAAACCACCCCTAACTGTAAATGCACCATTAATCTAAATTCAAATTCCTGTTTATTTTAACCCAGTAAAATTGAAGACATAATAAAGGAGCACAAGTGCCAATGGATCAATTTTAAGAAGCACAGACACTAAGGGTAGGATGTTCGTGTTGACCACCGACACTCATCAGACACTTCCTAACACGTGTTGGACACTTGTCCAAAAGTGTCCCATTATTTTTAATTTTTTTAAGACATGGAGTTACACACATATCCATGGCTCCAATACACATAAAACACGTTATAGGTTTGAAGAAAATAACTTCAAATAAAATAATAAAATAAAAACAATGTAATCCCTCATGCATTAAACTGTAAGAAAATTTGTGTTATATTGCATTTTTAGTATTTTTTTTTAATGAAATATTCATATATATCATAAAATAAATATATCAAAACTACATATATTCCACATCTTCCATGTGTCCCCCACAAGTCATCGCCTGATTTTTTTAAACTTGTCGTGTCAGTGTATTCGTGCCCATGCTCCTTAAGATCAATTATACAACAAATAAGAGTACACAAAACTTAAACACAATGAAATTCTTGAAAGTAGTGTTTACTCAACCCCATAAAGAATAATCTCATCTCATTCCAACTACTTGCGATCGCCTAGACAACAATTTTTCTAGCTTCAGATCTATCTAGAGCCACATCTAATGCTAATTTTTGGGCCATCCTGTCTTTTTCTTATAGCGTCAATCTAAATTATTTCATTTTCCTCTACTCCTTGTGCCTTCAACTAAAAGCCTAAAACCATGTCACTGCTGCTGACCAGTCATCATTCTTCATCACACATGAGCAAACTCTCTCAAGTTTTGTTCGACTGTCACACACAGCAGCTTATCATGATCGAGTTCACTTGTGATTCTATCACTTCTTATCTTGTCACCCATCTCAATAACATTATTTGGACACATATCTAAGGCCCAAACTGTTTGATATCATTGACCCGCCACCAGCGATGAATCAAGCCAGCTTAAGTCATCCTGAGCATGCCCCATTCACGTGACCTGCGATGGGGTGCCTCCATGCCCCATCCCAAAATTAATTGGCTAAGGCAATAATCAACACCCAAATCCCAAATTATGTTTAGGAAGCAGTGATGCATCATCTTCTCAAAGCAATAATCTCTTCTATGTATGATCAGAGAGAGAGAGACAGCATGAATCCACATAAAGAGTAGGTAGCTCCAAAACGGCCACAAAGGCAACAGCCCCACCAAGCCATTCAAGTGACAAGCAGTGAGACACCTAGGGTCTAACGCAATGTGCACAGAGAAGACCATGTAGAGCTTCTAGGACTATGCTTCCCACAATAAGAAGCTGTCAAGCATCAGTTTTTCACACTCAGCTGCATGACTTCAAAGGGACCCTTAAAACATTTCCTACTAATAGCCCTTCTCAGAGTTCTATGGCCATGTGTACATTTTGAAATGTGGTCATCTGAACTAGAAACAAGCTTCTGACATATGGTGGGCGCTCATTGGACAAGTTAGGCTCTCACCTCTTAGCCTTGAGACAGATTAATAATTGTAAGATTGTCATCCCATCAGCCATGTGATGCTCCAAGGTCAATGAGTTGTAAGCCTTCCATCAGGCAATGCCAAATAATAGATCTAGAATACTAACAATTTTTTCTTGAAAATATTTCATAAAATAATAGACAGCTCTCCAAAATGGGTGCCGTGTCCATGTTCGACGCCGCAGGGATACACGTGTCCACGTGTCCGACACACCACATGGTGTGTCAATTTTTTTAACTATTATTTTTTGTAGGACATGTTGGGGACACTTGAACACGTCTTGTATTTGGACATGCTCAGGACACCTCAGTAGGTTTTTTTTTTTTTTCCTTCCAAATTTTAGAAAGTTGATTTGGGGTCAAAGTCTAATATATGAAATAAAGAGGGAAATAGTAGAAAAATTAAGAATACACCCACATATTTATCAATGCCTCTCATATCAATGGTGTTGATACCAAATGATCCTAAATATATATTCATATACATAGTAAATAAAAATATATTTTTTTGCCGTATCCATATCTTGAGAATCATTGTATACCATGTCCGTGCTTCTTGTAATTAATCTTAGCAATCCATATATTTTGGAAATTACCTTTCCGATAGGATAAGCAATTGGATAGCAAATTATCATCAAAATGCGCACGAGCCAAACAAAATTTGCACCGACAGCAAGTCCATATCTAGTGCATATTGCTTGTGGAATAACCTGCCAACAGAAGGGTAATTTGCCAATCAAATTCCATCCACTGTATGAGTTTAAAAAGAATCAAGAATGACACTTAATAATATAATTGAAATTCAATAAACCTCTCCAAAAGCTAGAACAAAAGTCACAGATAGCACAATAGCAAGAAACTGATTGAAAAGCTTATCCAGGTATATGGGAAGGGCCTGCAGATTGCAAAGAACAAAGCAAACAACTATCAGTAAAATGCAATTATACAAGAGTAGTATAGTTGATATAAAGTTTTCAATTAAAAGTTAAAACAAAAGCTTCATAAATATTACCAAGACCATTTCATTCAAATATCTAGAGTCCAGTTAGAGAACACCCCCACTGTTGACACCATTGTTGTCAAATCTCGAATCAAATCTTGATCGTTTTGCTAAAATAATGAATCGTGAATCATAAGATTCACTCTATTTAATACAATGTATAACACATGCTTATACATATTAAAATAAAAAAAAACACTGTTTAAATTGAAATAAATGTCAATATAATTATATTATATATATATAATATAATCACATATATCTAGATAACTAATTGATCTCTTTATTTTATTGAAAAAAAAAAGAGAAAAGAAATGACATCATCTCATTCATTATGCACACAAAAACAAAAACAGTATTGAATCACAGAATTTTAGTGAGTCGTAGTGAATTGTAAATTGAATTACATTATCCACTCGATATTCGATTCAACAGCACGATTCAAAATTGTTTTGGTTGAAACCCATTGAATCATATAAATTGAATTGTGAATCGCATGATTCTAAGAACCATGGCTGACACTCCTTTCATCAGACAATCTCATTTTTTTGTTCTTCTTTCCTTCTCCTCCCCTTTGATTTTATTTTTATTAGGTATAAATCTCAATGCTATTACATATGCAATCTCTTTAATTTATGCTACAAAATTAAGAAAAAAGATTAGAAAATTACACATCTGTGTTGGGGAAGGGAGGGGCATGTCTGCTTATGAATAAATAAATAAATAAAATCAATAGTAAAAAAAATTTCAGATATATATTTTATAGATATGTATATGAAAACAGTAACTTAAACTTTCTTTCTTTTTTTTTTTCCCATTCTTTATCTTGTTCTCAAAAAATCAAATAATCTCATAATTAGATGCATAAATTTCAAGTTACAACACCACGCTTCATTATTCATTTGCCTTCACTTTGGAAATGTTTCTCCTTGTTCTTTTCCATTTTTTCAATCTCCATTCAGCAAAGACGGATATGCACATATGTATTTTTCATTGCAGAAGCATTTATGGGATTTTGCAAACTTAATGAAGGTTTAATAAACTTAAGAGTCATGCATTATTGATTTTTTATTATTCATTTGCTTTCACTTTGGAACTGTTTCTCCTTGTTCTTTCCCATTTTTTCAATCTTCATTCAGCAAAGGCGGATATGCACATATGTATTTTTCAATGCAGAAGCATTTATAGGATTTTGCAAACTTAGGCCTCGTTTGGAAACATGTTATTTTAGTAACTTTTTGACTTCTTATGAAAAGATGTGCAGAAAAGTAGAGAGAGTGATGTAACAACTTATAGTAAATTTTTTACTAAAACTGAAGGTTGCCAAACAAAGCCTTAATGAAGGTTTTAATAAACTTAAGAGTCATCCATTGCTTGGGGATGCTAAAAACTCAAACTTCCAAGCAATATCAATTCTAGTTTGAGAGTAGTCACTTTGTGCAAATAATGCCAAAGCTTATGTTTATCTCCTGCCCCTCCCAACACCCTTGAACAAGAACCAATGGCATGTAATGTCATTTTAGAAGAGGTATACCACATTTGCAATTTTAATTCCAGACAGTTAAGACAAAATTTCATATATTTACTAGAAACATAAATTCCATTCACTCACCTCCATAGAACATGCATTACATAGGAGCAAAGTCACAAGAAGTTGGTGTTGCTTCTGGACAACTGGAAGGATAGCAGCTGAATACAGAAAAAGACACATAATGTAAGCCCAAAGAATAACCATAGCCAGCACAAGTTTTCCTAAAGAATCATTCCAAAAATGGTAGCCTTGACAACACCTAAAGTAATATCATACAATGATGGAACAAAAACTTATTCTAGTAATGTCTTTTTTAACCTTCCTCACACTAGCACCTTCTACGTGCACAAAATTACAGCTCAAATGTGTTGTTGATCTGCTTTAATAAATGTAAGCATCTAAAACTTGACTTTGCATTTTGTATATTATTTAACGATTATGGCATCTACAATGTCTGACTACGAAATTTTAGTCCTTATATTCAATAATGTAAAATAAAAATATTTGAAAACATATTGTTGGCTGTGTTTAATGCCAAAAAATTAATATTTGTTTAAGTAGACAAAGCAAAACAAAACTTCAACATCCATAGTAATTCTTCCCTAAGCAATTAAATGTATAAGCATCCATTGTAAGTTCCTCCCTAAGCAATTTATATATAAGTATGAAGCATTTTGTATTTACTTTAGTATTTCATTAATACTTCAAAGAGATAACACGTTCAAAGGACATTACAATCACAAATCACAACTGTTCAATCAAAAATTAAATTACCTTAAAAATGATCCATTTTTACATGAACTTACAATTGAGATTTTCTTGCCAAATCGAGTACAAGTTTCTCGAGTATCACTATCAGTATGATTATCCAGCTTCATCATTTGGATAATCAGCTTGCAGTCACTGCATTCCAACACTGGTTTCGTCTTAATCCAAACACAATCCATTCATCATCCGTATCTTCACTAGTTCCATAGTAATCAATCCTAATCTCAAAAAGGCCTAAGCTTTCGCGCATTCAAATCATTCAGCAGGGTTATGAATAGTTACTGAATTCATCAATAAATCTTAGATATCAGTCAGAAATTAAATTACTCAAATACCTCAAAAACAATCCATTCCTACTCAAACAACTTAAACGTGATATTTTCTTGCCGAATCGAGTACAAGTTTGTCAAGTATCACTATCCCTATGATTATTCAGCTTCACCATATGGATAATCAGCTAGTATTAGTAATCACCACCACACTCCAACTCTCCTTTGGTCTTAATCCAAACACAGTCCACTCATCAAGCAAGTCTTCACTAATTCCACAACAATCGATCCACGACATCTACTTAAATCTAAAAAACTCCTAAGCTTTCGTTTCGCGCATTCAAATCAATCCGCACGTTATGAATAGGTACTAAATTCATCAATAAATCTTAGATATATGCATTTACAGATAGAATACTTGTATGAATCAATAGAATTGGGGAATCGTTTACCTGCTTGCTTCTTCTCGGTGGATGTGCCGCTGCGCTGGAGGATCTCGAGCTCGACGAGGCCGAGAGACATGAGGCCGAGTGTGAGGCCGGACATAATTCCAGCGAAGAGGACGAGAAAGCATGAGATTCCGACGTATACGAACCACCAAACCGATCCGAACTCTATCCCTTCCGATTCCGCCGCCCCCAACCCTCTCGCCGCCATTAGAGCCACCGCCGCCGCTTTTATCAGCTGCATCGCCTCTCTCTCTCTCTCTCTGTTTAATCGGATTCGCAGCTTGAGAGTTGGAGAGAGTTGAGACCGACTGATGAGTCGTCTATTTGCGCTGAAGATAAAGGTCAGACTCACAAATAACCCATGCCAAGGAGTTAGGCCTTAGAGCATCTCCAAGAAGGCAGTAGGCATTTTATCTATCTAAATATTACTATATAGTATATATTTTATTTTGTCTATCAACTATTTCATGTTTTTACTCTAATCATACTCTTTATTTTAGCTATTTATCTAAATACTATTAATTTTATAGAATGCCACGTCAACAACAAAGATGGAGGGAAATGATCCTAATGATTGAATACATTTTGCCTAGCGTTGAAGGCTAGCTACATGTAGCTAGTGAATATGAGTTGAGCCAAAATGCCTAATCATATGCCTAGTGCATTGGAATTAAAAAAAGTGAATCACACTAGGCATTTTAACTAACAAGTATTATATGCCTAGTGCATTGGAGATGCTCTTATCTAATGAACATTATGGGTTGGCAAGTTAGGCACGTTATGAACGAGTTAAGACTTATCCCATTAGCTAGTCTCCAACCATTCATCAGAATTATCATTAAGGCCTCGTTTGGCAACCGAACATTTTAGCCAAAAAGCCAAAAAGTTACTAAATTAGCCAAAAAGCTAACAACCCATACAAAAAAGTCAAAAATTCTTTTTTCTCTCTACTTTTTACACATCTTTTCGTAAAAAGTCAAAAAGTCATCCCAAACATACTAGTTTTTTTAAGCTCATATTTTAGCCAAATAGCCAAAAAGTTACAAAATTAGTCTGTTCCCAAGCGAGGCCTAAATTTAAATTTAGTAAAAACAATTTTTTTTTGTTTTTTTTTGTTTTGTGTGTGATCTCTAACAGTTTTATTAAAACAATATCTAATTAAGAACATTTTAAAATTTTCACCAAATTAAAGAGCTGGGGCAGATTTCACCATTTTAATATACACATACGTTGGTATTAGAGCCTATCGGACGACCAGCCGGACGTCTGGCTGATTGTCCCCCGGTCGTTCGGATTACACAAAAAATGAAGAACAACAGCCATGGTTTGGATTGCGAAGTAGCTTGAAAAGTTGGTTATTTTTGTGATACCAAGACGAAATTCATTACCAACATTGATCCATCAATAGCAAAAGCAAATGCATTGCATGTAGATTTAAATTTGTATCAAAATTAGCCGTTCATTTAGCAAGTGCAGCTCCAATAAGGCTATCGTTGGTTTTGCAGAGGATTTGACAAAATTACCATTACTGTGGTTTATAAAATGACTCTACTAGTCTTTTAATTTCATAATATCATTACAATTTCTATTTTCTGTGTGTGTTGGATGTTGTATCTGTTGGAATTTATAGTTTTATAGGCTTATTTTGGGCAAACTTTGAGCCCAAATTTGAGTGGATCTCACACGACTTTTGAGGTGGGTCCAAATAGGTGACATGTTTCTTGCCGCATGGCAAGTCACACAGTGAAGACGGTTTGTCAAAACCATTTATGAGTGAATTGGAAGTTGATGTTGTTTTCGAGTTCGTGGAATGGACAATTCAAGAAGTAAAATGTGGGTTTCCTTGAAATAGTTATCCCACATTGGAAACTTAAGAAAACTTCTGTGTGTATATAAATTCTAGATGGCAACACTTGGGTTGTGCCCCAAGGGGCATCCCAAGTTTGTAGAAGAGAAGAGTTATAAACAAAGTGAACCTTAACTCAAATCACCACACGCGCGTGCCACCGTTCAAGCCGAGCAGGGTGGGGGTCGGGTCGGTCCTAGCATTAATTTTTGAACAAAAATTATTTAAATTTTTCCAAAAAAATTCTTTTAGGAAAAATTTGAATTTTGCACCAATTTGAATTTAAATTTTTTGCTTCTAACTAGTGTGTCTTTTCCAAACCAATCCAAGCAGATTCAAACATATTTTCAACCTATTTGCACCGAATAGATTCTATCTCTTTCCAGACAGTTTTAAAATTACCCAGCAGTTTCCAACAAATCAAACTATTCCAACAGATCAAACAGGTTTTCAAACAAATTTTTGCATCTGTTCAGTTTGAAGTTGCACTTGATCGGATCTATCCAAGGGTCACCATCTATGCCTATAAATAGAAGTCTCATTCTAGCAGATTTTCACAATCACAAATATCCAGAAAATTCATTCATTTCCCTTTTTTGCACTCTTGCATTTTTATTCTTCATCCTAGCTTTTAGAGAAATATTTGCGAGTATAGAACACAGGTTCTAGTTTGCCGTACAAATTGTTTGGAATGCTACTGCAATTTGTGTAGATCAGTATATCTTGGGAGATAGATGCCATTTATCTGTAAGCACCGGAGCGGGACGAATCTGTCTTAAGGACAAAGTGTCACACACTCAACTTGATCATTTTTGTATTTATTCATTTCGATAAAATAAATTCTATAAGTAATTTATTTTTATTTGTTTGATTTGTTTCAAGTTATTTATTTTGCACAGAAGATTGTTCGAACAGTATCCTATTGAATTTTCTTAAAATTATGGAAGATTTTGAAATGTTTGAGGAATCACAAACTTAAGAGCAAAACATTGATATTAACTTTATTTCGGAAACTTCTCGTGTTTCTCGTGGTAAAGTGTTCACTATTATAGAAGATGAAACTTTATGTAGATCTTGGTTGGCCGTCTCTCAAGATCTCATTACTAGTAATAGTCAAACCATGGCAATATTTTGGGTACAAATACTTGTTTATTTTAATTCACAATTGAATGGTGAATCAAATCGAAACCGTATTTCTTTGTCTTACTGTTGGTCTATCATGCAAAAGGAAATTAATAAATTTCGTGATTTTCTTGAGCAAATCCAATTGAGGTAACATATTGGAACAACTGAGATAGACATGATAATTTTCATTTTTGTTATTAAATATTAATTTTTTTAGTGCTTAGTCTACTTGTTATTGTTCATGACCCTTCCATCTATCGCGATGTATGTATTTATGTCCTACAACAGAACCACCTCTTTTCTTTGATCGATCACTTGCTACTATAATCTGTATCATACTAGCATTATTTATCTCATAAACACCTAGAAGTTTCATAATTTTTTCATCATCAGACTCATCATCAGAGGATGAGGAAGAAGAAGATGATGAAAATGAAGTGAACATGCAAGAACTTGAGCTAGTCATTACGTTCTGGTTTTTAATTATGGTTGGTTTCAGATATAATGTAAATCATTTGGTTTATATGGTACATGGGTTAATTTGTTAATTTCAATTTTTTGAAGGAAATAATTATTGAAAGGAAATAATTATTGAAAAAAAAAACAAAAAATGGAAAAGATCTAATAAAGGGAAAAAGAAATGGGAAATGAATTGAGGAAATAGAAATGAAGGGGAAAAAAATCATTTTCTCTGTTCGGTCAACCGACCGGTAATCCCCTCGGACGTCTGTAGACACCCAATTTTGACCACTCGTAAGACTTAGGCGCTTGGTCTAATGCACTCGATGATGAAGACTGCATTGTGTGATTCGAGTTCTCGACGAAAAAATCCAAGGTTGACCCCCAAATAATCCTAAGACCTTCCTACTTATCTCAGTCTTACCTCAGAGGTTCATTTTTGACCTTTGTGCCACCTTTTTTTTGAGTTTGAAACAGGGGAGTGGGGCAACATATTAGGGCCCGGCCGTGCCCCCTTGGAAGCCGGCCATGGCTATTTGGGTGTGAAACCCCGTATTTTTATATAATAAAAAAAAATAATATATATTTTAATTTTCTTAAATAATTATTCACAATATTTTGAATTTAATAGTCTGTATATTTTTATACTGACCATTTATTCAAAATAAAATAAAATAAAATATATTATTACTCAATATTACTTTCTGAACCTTATGATATTTTTATTATATTTTTCCCTATATTTTTTTGTAATCAAATTACACTGGAACCTAATATTTTCTGTACAAAAATCCAAACCAAAAAAAAAAAAAAAGAAGAAAAACCATGGGCTTGCTCCCCATGTTTTCTCACCTCCCACTTTCCACGTGCAATCATTTTCTGTAAAGAAAATGTGGTGGACATGCAAGCTATACACCTCCCTTCTTTTTAATTTGTCTTCATCATAAATTGAGCCTAGCTTTTCCTCACATTTCCTCATCTTTCTCTTCACTTCTAGTTTCATCTCTCTCGGTTCCCTCTCCCTCCACCTCTCATTCTCAAAACTCTCTTTCTTCTTCTTTATCTATGTTTTTCCTCCTCCCCCGACCTACATAGCCATGACCTCAACCCATACTATCTCCATCCGAAACACCAACCCATGAACTTCACCACCATTGGCGCACCGTCGGACCGCCACCACCACCATCACCTATTTCAATTATCATCTAGAACCACCATTCACAAATGTGTTGTAGGTGAAGAAATAGAAAAAGAAAGAAGGTGGAGGAGAAAGAAACAAAGTTAGAGAAATTTATTTTGAATTTCAAAAGTTGGTTTTCGGCTTACTTTCGGCATGCCAAAACCATCCATTCCGGGAAGAATTGAGAAAAAATAGGTCATGTAAGATGAAGTACGGAGTAAGTTGAAGAGAATGGCGAAAGAATGAAGTAAAACCGTTAAGAATTAGGAAAGTTATGGGGTCCGAAAGGTGGTTCGAAAAAAATGTCCGAGACGATAGGAAAACAATCTTATTTTTTTTTCAAATTTTGGAGATCCGACGGCATGCAAAAAGAGACGGAACAAGGCGTGTGAGTAGTGAACCAAAAACTAGGCTATGAGGTAAATCCAATGACAAAAAAATAAGATAAAACGGAGTTACGATGAAGAAGATACAAACATGTGAACTGGTGACATTGAAACTAAAATTCTAGGTCTTCTGTTCATGCATGCTACGGCTGTTGGAGAAGATGAGCTTAAATTTTATCCAGCGTTTCTCGGCCCATGGTGCTACGGTGCACTCTAGTACCTTTAGGTTAATCGAGTGGTCCTATGACTTTGGGATGACCACCCTTAGGTTTTTCGACGTGTAGAATCCATTTTTGGGGTTAGATCTTGCAAATTCTAAGTCTAAGATGATGATCAACAACTAAAAGTTCTA